AAGTTCAAAGTTGATTGGGTAAAAATTAATTTAAAAAATTTCAAAACCTTTGTTCGAACTAATCGGGATAGCAAAAAAAGGATAATAATACCTGGTATGTGCGTTGCTACAATCACTCACAATTACTTTTCCACCAGTTATCTCGTTTAATTTTGCATCTGGCGTATCAGTTACGAAATATATCTGAAATTTGGAATATTAATCAGTAATTTATAAAGTTTATTTTATTTCAGTTTAAAAGCTGCTTAAAATTATGCAAAATATTTAGATAATTACTAATTTCAGGATGATTACTATCATGCATTCACCGTTAATATGACTGATAATAATATCATATTATCACAATTTGACCGCTATTTTCCTATCTTTCTGTATCGGCCCCCGAAGACGTGATTGGATATCACGAAAGGCAATATAAAGGTTTCGTAAAAAAAGCTTCGACTTCAAACCCATTTCATCAAATTCATTTATCTGCTAAATTTTGTCATAATTTCATATTATACGATCAAATTTGCTAAGTCGCAATATTGTGAGATATCAATCTGATCTGGCTTACATTCGGTCAACAATTTGTATACTTAATTTGTCCATCATTTATCTTTTTGGCAGTTTCGTACGGTCATTTTTATGATGAATGATGAAGTATGAGGGATGATAATTCGACACACCATGAGAAAAAAAGGAGCGGAAAAAAATGCTAAAAATGTTTCTTTTATCGTAATCGCAATGATGGGCACTTTGTGTACTCAAAATTAAGGTTACGAAGAATGACCTAAAATTCTACACATAACAAAATGAAGTTAATATATTGCAATTTCTAAATGAAAAGAAATGGTGGAAAGAAATTTATGCAATAAGCTGTTGTAACAGTATTGAAGATTTTGCAAAATTTAGAAAGATAAATGATACATTGTATGTCAGATAAGCCAAGAGCAGTAGTAAGCAGGCAAGATTTGAATAGTTTTTCTCGAGAATTACTGACAATTCTGATTCATTCTATAAATCTTTCGCTTCTCCTATGACTTCCGGAATCTTCCAATTTTTTGGCTTTCATTTTTAGATAAATAAATATAGATATAGATATTATTAATTCAATAGAAATAATTAATGCAAATTATTAATTTAAAAGAATCCATAACTCAGAAGATATTCCAACATTCCTTCGAGATATTTGATGAAACATTGCATCTTTTCTAATAATGAAAAAAAGATAAATTATTGAAAAATTTGCATTATTTCAAAATCTTATCATAAAAAAAATTTTTTTTAAAATTAAAACAATAAATGAGAAGGCTAACTTATGTGCTTATTTATAACTTATGTGCTTAAAATGTTAAATTACAATAAATCACAAAGAGGATGAGAAGAAAAGGAATGTCTCTCTCTCTCCCTCTCTCGCATATTCATTTGTCTTCATCTGTGAAAGATAAAATTTGTAAATGAAATGTGAGAAAAAGAAGTTGACAGTCAATAATTAAATTATTATCGGTCAACCATACGTTCAACTGACGTACTTCTGGGTTTCCATTTATTTAGTGGAAAATCTTCCGTAATAATGTGCCTCATAGTATAGTAAAATTTAAAATGAAGTTTAAAAAACATATTATTTTCTCTCAGATGGTAATTCATAAACAATCGATAGTATTATTTATTAGCAACAGTTAATTTAATTGCATTTGATTTAATTAGGAATAAAAAAAAAACGAACATTATTGGGTGCTAATTGAAACCATGTATCAATTATGTCACGAATGCGACTCTCATGAAATTTTAATGTTGTTTTTACAGCAATCACTAAACCATCCAAATCGCTGGCTGTTGGTACATGCTCGATTTGGCTACTGTAATGGCCAAATCCCTGAATCACAATATTAAATTTAACATTTACAAAAAAAAAATTAAAACACTTAAATTTCAAGAACTTCTATTATCATCAAAATTCTGAAAGTGCTCAAGAAACTATTGGAATTTGCAACTTACAAACATTGGTATTTGAATTATTTCAAAGAAAAAAATGACAGTGAATAATTCAATCAAAAATTTCTTACTTATTTATCATCATTTCAAAAATTTATACCTTACCTTGTCAACTAACAAATATATCAATATGACAGCTAACAATGCCATAATAACACAAGCCGTTTGTTTAGTTGTCCGCATGCAACAAACATTTGGGATCAGTTAAGGCGGGGATGGGGAGAGGGGGAATGGTTGATATATCAGACCGGTACCCGCACCGGCTTTCTTCAAGTCTTCCTCCGTATTGCTGCTGCTGCTGCTTATTTATGCCTTCAGTCTGTTGATGATGGTTGAAAGGGTGTCGAAAAATGATGATCATCACTCTCCTTCCCGATCGCTATAAAAGTGGACCACGCCTCTTGTCAGAATGGCCACCGATATGGCACCAATGAAAGTTATTCGATTGACCGATGTTAGGTGGGAAGCTTTTACGTCAATTGTCGGATTATGAGATTAGCTGCAATCGTTAATGATAAGCAATGAGAAAAGATGCGAATGATGATATCAACAATGATTTTGATAATTGATAATAAAATAGAATAATAATAGCAGTTAATGTATTGATGTCTTCCAATTTGTGTGTATTGTTGTATCGTTAACATTAGCATCACCAGTAATGTTATTGACAATAATCAATATTTCAGGCAAGTAATCATCTTGATAATAAGAATGATAACTTATTAATCGATTCTAAGTATCAACGATTCTTATTGCTATGTGTTGTGACCAAAATGTTTGTTCAAACAATCTCTTTAGCCATATTTACTCATTTAATGCTGATGTTAAACTATAGCTTTTTAGAGTTTTGAAACATGAAGGAAATTAAATTATGAAAATTACCTTACTTCTTCATTCATAATTAGGATTCAAAGCAAAATATGATTTGGCAATCTTTGGAGATATCTACAAGTTGAATAGGCATTTCTCATTTGTGAATATTCCTCAGTCCTTTTTAACTATTTCGTATAAAATTAAAGTGCAAGTTGTGAAGAGCTGAATACCGATTACTAGACAATATCTCATTGATCACACAAACGGTTTCATATTTCCAGTTTTGCCACACATTCAATTTGGTCACTCATTTCGATCTATTCGAAAGTTGCAATTAAAGGATGATTTTCGTAGTCAAAACTAAAATAATATTAGATCATGCTGATAAAAGTAACACAATAAACATAACCTTTATGAGGTTAAAAGGATGATGATGATGATAGTGATAATGTTGATGTTAATGAGAAAAATTGACAGTAAAATGATAATAATATTTCAATTACCGTGTAGCAATAATGGTGATAACGATATCAAAAATATACAATGGTGATGATGATTATCGATAGAATCTTCCAAATTTATGAAAATAAAGCACTCTTCAAAACCGATGCATCATTTTACACCGCTCACATAAAAATATTTTACTTGCAGCCTGAGCTGAAAAATATATGAATGCAACGTATAAGCTTCGCAAACTGGGTTTATGATTAAAAGTGAAGTTAAAGCTAAATATATAAATTTAAATGGGTCAATATTTTGAAATATTATGAAATTTTTTTAAGTGTATCAAAATGACGAGGGACAATGTTCCTACTCCACTTTTAACATTAATTCAATCTTCATCAAGCGTTCAAATAAAATTTTTTTTCAAATTTTGTTTTTCATCCATTCAACCGACAAATTCATTTCTTTTTCTATCTATCCATTGTTTGGCACTTTTTTAAAGTTATCTGACAGGTGTCGAATATTAAATTGTCGTTGAATTTTCAACTTGTTGATGGATTTCGTGCCAATATATCAGATGATTGCAATCAAACCTAAATTTATAAAGCATTTGAATCGTATCGTGTATTAGAAGTTATAGGGGAAAAAAACAGATTTATGGTTAATTCTAAAAACCAAGCATCGAATAATTTCGAAACGTCGATTGATTCATTAAATAGTTAACCGAAAACGGCAAATTATGGGTTTTCCCCCTCTTTTTATTGCCCGATCACAACAATACTTACTTTCCAACCATTTCCTAATTCCGATATAACAATAACCAAATAAGTCAGTCGCCCATTAACACTGTGTCAACATCAGAAAGAGGAAAAAATAAAGTAGATTGTTGCATGATGGGAAAAATATTGCACCAATTCACGGTACCAACTGAATAAACCCATGGGAAAAATTATGTCAAAAAAAGGAAGAGAAAAAAAACGAATATTTTGGGGATGCATTCAGATTCCTATCATCTTATTTCCATTTTTCATAACTTTTTATAATTAATATATGAAATTAAAGCATATAAGTAACTCTCATTCTTCACTTGCTATTCGAACTAAAGACAATTTTTCTTTTACAAAGTTTTTCCCTATAACTTCTTCGATAAATATTAGTGCAACAGATTCACAGCATTAACTCTAACAGCGGTATTATCCTAGACTTATTTAATTATCAACCTTGCTAAAGAAACTTACATACCAGTGAACTATTCAAATTAATTCACTCTTGTTGAATCGTTGATTTGATGCTGAATGATCACATGCTTGGATCGTTTAGAATTTCCACAATATACTATGTTATATATCGTCTCCTGATACAGCTCAAGCGTTGCCATTTTTATGTGATCAAATGAACTTGGAATGAATGATCTTCATTAAAGTAAGTAGTGCACTGAAGCTTAAAATGTGAACTTTTCGGCTATTTTGGTTTATTCAGGCAGTTTTAGTCAGTTTTCCCTCTTGCTGTCCCTTTGAATTATCGCACTATTAGTTCGTTCTTCTTCCCTTTCCTTTGGAATTTTAACTGACCATATTTCATATTTTTCTTTCAAATCGTCAGAAAAATTTTCAAGCCTACTGTTAAAATGAAATCGAATGGATGATTATTAGATGTGAAAGTTATAAAAAACCAAGGTTTTATTCACGATCACAAAAACTAAATGAAACAACTAACAGATAATCAAAAGAGAATGTGACCCGATTCATTAATTATCGTCATTTCTTCTAATCGGTCAAATTTTTGTTCTTTTGCACATCTTGCATGTTTAACAATGTTTCCAGAAACTTCAAAAATGGATTCTCGCCATCATCAAGTGCCGAGCACCTATCTCCTGATCGGATCAGACCAACGCAGCAGCCCTTAAAGTATTTTTCTGCTTGTTACATGCGGATTCTTTTGATTTGTTTTATATAAAATAATGTTTCTTAAAATTCTCATGATCTTGACACTTATTTCAGAATTTATTGACTATTACATCTATATTCTGTCTAAGTTTTTCTTCTTTACATTTTTTATGCATTGATTCGACTTTCATTGCTGAGCAAAGTGAAAGATTTTATAGTTATAAGGAGATCCTTTATGTTCTTATTCATGAGATTAATGAATTTTAATATAGTGGCTTCTTTTCTATCGTGTCATAACTGACCTTCCAAAGTATGTGAAATTCCCCATTGTTGATAAGGAAATTAGTTCCATATGGGCAAACATTAAAAGCACATGCACGTTTTTCTTCCGTTCTGCACTCCACGTTTGACGAACATTGACGTGTTCGAAGACGCTTTCCACAACCGCCACATTCTTGAGTGCATGAACCGGTCCATTCTGTCCACTCACCACATTCGCAAGCTACAAGGAGTTAGAAATATTAAAAAGCGAATGTAATTTTATAAATATTTTGCGAAAGTATGGTCACACTTCAAGAAAATGAAAGGACTGCAATTAGCTATCCAGAAATTTAAAGAAATAAAATTGTAACCAGTAAATTCTCCGAAATTGATGAAATGGAAATTCGGGATTATTTCAAGTCAGAAGTGTTCTGTCTACAATATGATAATTTTACAACTACATCAGTCTGATTAATAATTCCGTTTTAATGAATTAATTTTAATTAATGAAAATAATACTCGGATTCATCCGCTTTTTGCACAGTGCTTTTATACAATATTCAGAATTATTTCCCGATAGATGCCTAAAGTGCTATTTTATTACAAAACTTGCTAAATAAACTCGAAAGCAATATTGAATGTTGTTATATCTCACATTCAAGCGATAAAAGGTCGTCGTCATCTTACTGCTTGAAGTACATAAACTGTAGAATGATGTCATTCTTGCATTACTGTTATTTGTTCATTTGCGAATAGCTGTATTAAGCTTGATCGATGAAGCAAATCAAAATTATCACGGATAAACGGTAAGTAACTTACAATTTCGAATTCCGACTGAAAGTGATGGTAGTGTACGATGCTGATTATAATCTTCAGTAACACTTCCAATTACTACAGGCGTAGTTGCCGGGAATGATACCGTATTAGCAGTGGCTGAAGCAATGGTAAATGTCGGGATGGTAGTGGTGGCAGCGCTTGTGGTGACGATATTCCCTTCTTCCTTACGTAATTTTCTTGTGTATGCGGAAGCAGTTATTGTTGTTACCGTTGTTGTTGTAAATGTCACAGTTTCAACAGTTGGAATTGTTTTCAGTCCTTCTTCCGGAATTACAGTCATTTTTGTTGGCGCCATCGTTTCCTAAAAAATTCTCTGAGTATTAACAAATAAAAAATGTATCAAATTTCAAAAAACAAGCGAAACTTTTATCTTACAACTGCCTCATCATCTATATTCGACCAAACTTTAGCTTTAAAGCCATTTCCTGTATCACCAAAACCACGAAATATTATCACCATTTCGTTTGTAGCAGATTGAAATACGCGGCGTGGCGCTTTCGAGCAACAAAACCTGAGAAGTAACATAAAGTATCATTTACTTCCTCTTCCACAGGAATCAAAAATTTGCATAATTCATTGTCTCAAAAACTAAGTTGGCGCATTCTTGCATGTATGTGCAAGCATCATTTTTATGCAAATTAAGTGATAAAAAGAAATTTCCAGAAGTATCTTTTACAAAATCCAAAATTTAGAATTAAAAAAATAAAAACCGGAAACAGTCTTATTTTCTCAAAGTAGAAAAAGAATTATAAATCTAACGATTACAGTTCATGGAGATAGCAAACGACTGCTCTTGCAGAATCTGTGACATTTTCCTTTTAATAATACATTAGTTTCTGAAAAGTTAAAATTATTGAAATCGCACATATTGATTAATTTATTACTAACCGATATCCAGTAGTTCGAAAATCAGCTCCAGTTTTCACCTCTACATAAGATTTATCACACGTATCTTCACATTGTAATTGAAATTGTCCAATAAATTGAAAATTTACAAATCCACCAGGTGGAGCTGTAAGCAACCAAATACATTGATCACCAACGTTGAATGAATTTGGATAATTTGGACTCGAAATCGTAACAGATTTTTTTCTCGCCTAAAAATAACATCAACCTTATAAACAGAAACAATTTGATTTCATTAAGTTGAATGAGGACGATTAGACATGATTTGCTGCTTTATCAGAAAGAAAGACGACGATCTGATACACTTAATTATCAGCTTTTCCCTAAAGTTTGTAAAAACTTTGCAGTAATGGACACTTGTTTCTCGACATACCTTTGAATTTTGATATTATCAACCATCACTTTTTTATTCTTACTCGACTCTCATTCCTTTGCACAATTGTACTTCACTTTCTTCGAGAACCACTTTCAAAGCGGATATTTTGAAAATACCCGAGAATATATTTGGTAATGAACAAATAAGCCACAAGATGAATTATTGCTCGATTTAAATTAATCAAGATATAACTGGAATTTTATTTTACAGATTCATTACATTTTACATTTCAATGCCGAAAGCTTCGAGGAAGTTAAAAAGATAAGTTGACGAAGCCTGATTGAGCCATAAGTTAACAAATGATATTATGCAAATGAATAATATTGAATTAGCTCATACAATTCAGATAATTTTTGTGATAAACGGAATTAGAAGTGAAGAAATATTTTTACGATAATAAGTTATTAATTAGGGCATGCTGAATTTAGGGCCTATAAGAAATAAAATTAGGACTAAACAGAAGCAAGAGAAGATATTTTCCAAAAGATATGAAGTTAGAAACCTTTAAGTTAAGTTAGAAAAGCTCCTGTGAATTGGTCTTATCTTCTCTTAACAAGTCATCGGTGTCTTTACCTTTTGAGATAAGAAAACTGCAAAGAGATGGAAGGATATTTTAAATTAAGAAATTTTTTGATGCAAAACAAAAGCATGAAGAATATCTTGGACAGGTCAAAATATTGCCAAATTTAGAAAAGGTCAAGAAAAAGTGGAGAGGATTAGCAATAGCTTCATTAGGTCAAATAAGAATATAGAAGTAGAATGAATTTCATGGCAATAGTTATCATAGATTGCTGAAGTTGGAGAATAATGATTGGAATTCCATTTAGATTTTACGTTTTTTCAAATGAGCCTATAGACTTTTATCAAAATAATATGGAGAAATTACGATTCAAAATATACGCATCACCAAATAAATAAAATATTCAAATTAGAGCCAAATTATGATAATATTTGGAAAAATTATTGAAAATGAATTAAAATAATAAGTGTTGTGATGATATTGTTATTATTCAACACATATTTATTCAAATTTAACGCTTATGTAAATTTTTGTAAGCAAAATTACCATATTTGGAGAGAATTAAAGCTATAAAAGAAGAAGAAAAATGGGAACTAAACATTGTTCCACGTTGGATTATCGTTAGCTGGCGCTTCATTTTCTGGGCTAAAATAAAATGCAAGGGACGGAAGAAGGCGGCGACGCAGGTCAATCTGTGGAGTGGGAAACAACGGATGGTTCCTCTCTTCATTCTTCCTTTCATGATGTTCTTGGGTACGGCGATCCCTACGACAGCGCAAAGTAATCAGGAATTTTCTTTTTGCTATTTGAATTACTACGCAAACTTTACGCTTATCATTACCTTCTCTTTACTTACATTCCTATCACATACCACTTCAATTTGGAGCTAATAACAACGATTTCCGGGAATTTTCAGATATTTGGATGATTTGGTGAAAGATTTGCGTATATTGGATTCTATTCAATTGAACCATCCTGATAAGCTTCGCAATACCTATACGCTCCTTACCAATGAAATCGATCGTGTTTGGACCATCATCTACATGCGTACGCTACGTGATGAGCAACAAGTACATCATTATTCGCGACAATTTACGGTTGGTGTTAATTAATCTGACCGCTCATTACCAATGCACATTGTAAAATGATTGAAATTCGTTATGATTATAGGCAACCCTAAATGCATAATTACTCTTTCCCATTGGTCATTTTGAATTGAAATCTCAGAAATGATCTAAATGCTTTCTTCTTTTCGAGTGCAATTTAATATTTTTATAAATGTTTTATAGCCAGAAGGGGCATATATTTCGATCCAAGAGAAAATTATGATTCCCGAGCGCCCAAATTGCAAATTTATTGGACGCATTCTTGGACCACGTGGAATTTCGGTGAAACAACTTGAAGCTCAAACCAACTGCCGCATCCTCATCCGTGGAAAGGGTTCCGTTAAAGTAAAGCTTTCCAACTTCCTCCTATCCATCTTACTTAATGATTTTATCACATTACGGTTCGGAGTATACATTACAAACCAAATGGATCAATAAATAATGCGGATTCACCGATCCCATAATGCTATTGCCTTATATCAATCAATAAGCGTACTATCTCGGAAGTTGAATTGGATGAATTTTTTAGGATGCTCGTCGTGAGGCGCGTCTTCGCAATCGTGTAGGTTGGGAACATCTCGCGGAACCTCTTCATGTGCTCGTTACAGCTACGGACATTACGCATGAGCGTTGCTTACAAAAATTGGCAGTTGGCGTACAGTCTATTAAGGCGTTGCTTAGCAGCAACGACGATGAGCATAAACGTCGCCAGCTTATCCAGCTTGCGATCATTAATGGTACTTATCGCCCGATGCGCATGCATTATCAAGGGTGAACGTATCAAAGAAACGTACACAAATATTTCATAGGATTTTAAAAATGTATTAATTATTAAATCTTGTATAGCAAAATAAATAATATTGCAATATATGTCTCTCTTTCTCTATCCCCATTCTTTTATTTCATCTTTCCCCTATTTCTTATCACGATATGTGCAGGATCTTATCACAATCCATCAAATTGTATGAGTAAAGATTTTTAGTATTATTTCATCAATTTTTATCTTCTCATAACTTGAGAAGAAGTTGATGATCTTGGTTCCGATTAGAGAAAAATTCAGAATGTTTGAAAATTTCTTCAAGGCAATTTATAGAAGTATTATTCAAGAGCAACGAAAATATCCTATCAAGTGATCCTAAAAAGTTTTATTGTACAAGCCCATGCCGGCAAGAGTTAAACGCATCAGAATCGGATGTTCGTCCTGATGTCATGGCCTTCCTGTATATCTCAGATAGTAATGCTTGTTCTGGTCAAAGTAGAAGTATTGCTGAAGTTGAATAAAAATGGAAAAGTCTGATAAGTTATACGATAGAGTGGTAGTTCCAATAATGAGCTTAGTTTGGTTTTTCAAGAACATTGTTGAAATAATCGAACAGCCTAGAAGATTACGACCTGTGCACGTAATTAAGTGGCGAAACGTCTGCTATCGGGGCATTAAGCAAGTTGGAAGACTTTAATCTTACGTTGGTTCTTTCAATAATCTCGATCATCGATAACTTAATCAGGAAGTATATACTACTATACTACTATTACTTGAAATGATAGTTCATATTACATGAAATGATAGTTCAAAGATAGTTCAACTATATTACTTGAAATGAAATGATAGTTCAACTATATTACTTGAAATGATAGTTCAAAGCTATTTTCGGAAATTGTGAATCAAATCTGAGAAATGATAATTGATGATAAGAGAAGTATTGTGTGATAGAAGTACGTTCTTAACCCACCATGTGATGATCTTATTGATCAGAAAAAAAGTGAAAAAACAGTACTTACTTTAATGAGAGCTCCACAAGATGTATATTGAACAAATTGACAAGTACGACCTGCGAAACCATCTGGACATAAGCATTTCTCACAATTATTAGGATTCGGATAACCATTATGATCACAACGGATATCATTACATTTTTCCGTGCAGCGATAAGCGATGTTTATCTTAAAATATATTTTCTAAAATATTGATGATAAACAAGAAAATGAGATTTTTAGAACAAATTTTATAAATCAAGCGGAAAAAGAAAGTCAATCCATAGCACATGTTAATTTAATTATAATTATTTTAAATTCAGCTAATTATTTCTTATTAATAAATGAGTATCCAACAACATTATCACAATAGATAACCGCGGAAAATTTAGTTAGCTCAAGAATTTGGAAATTAACAATCGTGAGTCTCTGAAAATGTTCCACATTTTTTTTATTCTATTAGCTAATTTTGATCTATCAATGTTCATTCCTGTCATTTGAACTATTTTCAACTCATTAAAAGTAGAAAGATTTTAATACTGATGAACTTCTGTGAACAATTTTCATAAGCATTTGGGAAGGAATTTTAGTAAATGTTAAAGTTCAGATTTGAGATCTCAAATTTACAGTTATTGAAATTATCAGCCATTTGATGACAATATCATTAATGCGGTTGTTAGATAAAGCTTAACAGCTGCATAATCCAGAAACGATGGTCCTTCACGTTGTCCAATTGTATACTGCTGAAATTTATCACGTGTTGTAATAGTCGGTACATACGAATCTGTTGCAAATCCATATGGTCCATAATGCATTACTGATCCTATAAATATAATAAAATTAAAAAAAAATACATAGCTGAAAAATCTTTTCAAATTAAAATTTCAAATGAATTAGTTTATTTTTGCCAATTTCAAAACCCAACTAGTGTATATTAATAAAAATATTATCCATAAATTATTATAAAAGGAAAAAAATTACCAGTATCATACGGTAAATTAAGCATATCGGCTTCATATTGCGATAATGGGAAAAAATTATTCCAACGACTTAATGGAATATTGTTGTAATTTATAAAAATATGATTTTTCTGATCAAGACGTGCTTGCTCATGAAATATTCCCAAAGTATGACCAATTTCATGCGATATAATACCAATAATATCACATCCTGGTGTTGAAATTGAAATTCCCTGAAATTTTTATTGGAAAATATTAATTCAATTGTCAATTAATCTAGAAGTTTTCCTCCCTTTTTTTTTTTTTTGAAGATACGGATGATATTTTTAAAAGAAAATCAAAGATTTTTTCGACAACAAAATTTTGCTTCCAAAATTACTTGCGTGCCTCCTGTTCGGCCGACAAAACTTGAACATCCGCCACCGTCGAAAAATTCAATTCGATCCACATTTGGACCATTTTCTTGGAATCGTATGCATGTTCGTTCTTCCCACATCGCCATTGCTGCACGAATTTTCGCACGCGTTTCTAATGGAATCGTTTCCGCAAAATCATAACTAATTGAACGGTTATGAGCCCAACGCACATAAAACGGTTCAAGGCCAACACTTCTAAAAAAGAACAGTTAAGTTTTAATTATTTAAAGTATAAATTATTGCAGCAATTTTATTAAACCATATTTTTCAAGTATTTTTTTTTACCTTTCAATTTTAATTTAATTCAAAATTAAGTGAAGCAAGAATTCTTGTGAATCTAAACGATATGTTTCAATCAGATGATACATGGTTAATTCAAATTAACTAAACTCAGCTCCGTCATGTGCTTGCATGATATTTTGTGATATGTCGAAAGAAGGCAAAAAAAAAATCCGGTTTTCTGATAATTTAAAAAAATTTATTCTTAGTGTTATCAATGATGTAAATGATGTTGTAGCTTGTACAATTAATCAATTTTTATGCAAGAACATCCGATTAGTCATACCAATAAAAAGTGACGAAATAAAATTGATGGAATACGAATTAAATTAATTGTATAGATAATTAACAACAGAATAAAATGTGATTGGAATGGAATCAGAATTCTTCTTTTTTTTTTCGCTAAAATGTAACAAAATTTTAGGACAAAATTCATGAAATCCATTAACGATACCTTTTTTGGCGTATAATTTCATCGTCTTTTTCCTTCAAAACAATTTCATTTTTAAAACGTTCACTTAACAATTGGGCTTGTTTTTCCGATAAATCAACATCACCCTAAAAAGAATTCAAAAATCTTTCTTCTGAACTTTTAATTTTTGATTCGTTCCAAAATCTTAAAACCTTTCGAAAGTTTAAAATGAAAAGATTGAAAGAAATATCAAATGTCAAAAATACCAATCCTCTTTATAATGCAGTTATAAATTATTTCATGACGCATAAAATGGAAACGAAGAAATAGCGAATAATATTATGAAATCGTAAAATTTTGAAAAACTTCTATAATTAAGAAAAAAGAAAAAGAAGGAAGATAAGATTGAAATAGACTTGATAGTATAAATCTGGATCATTAATTGATAATTCATCATGATGCTGTTTTGCTTCAGGATTCTTTCGTTGTAATACGATTTGATCAGCTAATATTTTACCATCTATATTTCCAATCTGTCTGTAACATTTGAAAAATTCAGCAATGAAATAGTAAAAAATTATCAATTTAAAAATTCAAATATTTGATTTTAATAGGAATTATTTGAGAATAAATGATTGAATCAAACGAAATACATAACCTTTGTGCTTTCAGGGTGATAAGTTGTTTGATATGATCTAACGTACGTCGTGATGCTTTCTGCGTTCGATAATTTTCCACTGAATGAATAAAGAGACAAATAAAAAGTTGAAGAAAGATGATAACTTGCTTCATTGCGATCAAAATTTTTGTTATTTTCTTTGACAAATCTATCGAAGAAGAAGTAACGACGAAACGAAATCTACACATATACCAACAAATATTTCCATGTAAAATGCCCCCTTCTGAGCTCTCTTTTCACTTGCAGCAACCGGTTAACAAATGCCGGAAGGAATTGTCATCATCAGACATCATCCTCTCTTTCATCCATTTATCCTAATAAAAAGTTTCCGAAAAAAGAAGAGAAAAAGGGAAAGAAACTACATCAAAGTGTAGTATTGTAATTATAATTATAGTTGATCATATCCAAATGTTTAAGCTGATCATAGTTAACAATCCTTATAAATGTTTTCATAATAGAAATATACAATATTTAAATCAATCAGGAATATAATCATTATATGATCAATCACGAATATTATCTATTATTTTCTTAATATTTAACCTTAAATGCAGAGAGAAATATAAATTTCATAGAGCAATCATTAAAAATCCTTTATCACATACTGCGTTCTTCTTTCCCAAGCTTAATCATTGAAACTCTAAGATATGTTATTGTATTAGGTAAAAGAATAGGTATACGGACAAACCATTGATAAGAATTGAGTTAAAAAATGTAAAGATTATGAAGCTTTTAAAGCGGATATTATGATTTCGAGAGGAATTATATTAGGCACTATTTTAACTGACGAAATAATTGATTGGATCGAATAATCATTTTGATCATACCCGATCAGTATATATTATTCCAAATATTATCCAAACTTTCCGTAAATTTTCCTAACTGATACAAGAAGCAATCCAAATCGATATCAGTGAACAAATCGATATCTACAAATCTCAAAAAATTGTTGCAATAACGACAAGTAGCATTGATTTATACTAAAAATTGGAAAACCCAAAAACCCTTTTTATAATTAAAACAATGATTTCTGAAATACTTTTGTTTTTTTCGATGTTCAAAAGAGCAAAAATATTTCAGATTTAATTGGAAGATTGAAGCGGAAAGTATAAAAGATATTTTAGATTCATGCGAATGTGAATTAATTATCAATGTATGATAAAATTGAGCAAAATTAAAATTGCAGTCAAAATCTTTTGGTTCAATTGAAATTGATGGATAGAAATAAGTTGAAAATATTTTTCGGTATGTAGCATAAGATTTGTAAGTTATGTATTATTATTATTTTTTGCAGTATATTTCGTGCATACTTTAAAAGTTCATTGCTTTTACTTTATTCAGAAATCCTTGAAATTACAATCAAATTTTTTGTAATGAATCAAATTTAACAGAGGAAATTTAACATAGGAAAAAAAGATGGAAGCAAAATTGTCCCCTATCACTTATTCATTCGTCATCGGTGAGCATTTTAAGATTATCATTATTTTTTGGCACATTTTTATAGTTGATTATCAATCCATCATCGTCTGATTCATCTTTTGTATTCTTCGTGTATTTCCTTGGCGGAATATCCATTCTATCAGATTTCTCTAGGATATTGAGAATTTTCTCAGGGTTTTTGGTTGATATGATTATTTCGGGTATATCATTGCTATCACTTGATGATGAACTTGACACATCTTTAGCATACATTTTATTCGATCGTACGAATAATGCTTCAGTATCGTGTTCTAATACTGATATATTTTTGCGTCCAATTTCCATCGCAATGTTGTTATTTTGAGGATTTTCTTTCTTCATTACAAGATCATCATCCGGAATGCAAATCATTGAAAGACGATCGCTTTCATTAGTATCGGTTGATAGTTTTCGATTAGTGAATCTGGTTGAACTATTTATGGATTTGTTAAAAATGTCAATATTTTCTTCAGAATCATTTGCCTTAACAACACTGTTCAAAAATCCGATTTCATTTAGCCTAATATTCGATCCTTTAATCTGGTTGAAATTTCTTTGAAATGATTCTAATTCTGAAGTTTGTCCAGAAATACTAAAAGCATCTGAAATATCATTCGTTTCCTTGAATTCTTCCTTCTCATTGTAATTAACAGTATGATCGAAGTTATGTTGCATAACTTGTTCTTTGTGTTCATTATCAATTGCTAAATGACTGGAATATATGTACCATATCAAATATAATTACAATTAATCATACTTAAATTTTAATTTCCATTGAATTTCCCCAAATTTAATACTATTTCAAACTTGAATAGTATCATTGATTTTTATATTTCCCATATAGCTCAAACTTACTTGTCATTTCTTCATTGCCAGGAACTGATTTCCACTGATCTTCATCAACATCCGAAAGAACAATATCTTCCATATTACGTATGCTTTCAATCGAATTCTGTTGTTTGGGAAATTTTTTTATTTCCTGAATAGTTCCAATTACACTTTCAGGAATTGATAAATTTCATTGTAGAATATGTTTTGGTGCAAGTATTCTATTACAAATTACAAAAACATTACCTTGCCAACTTCACCTGTATATCATTTACTTAATTTAAGCTATTTTCTATTTCATTTTCAATAAATAATCTTAAATTTCTTCCAATACTGTCTAACGTCAACTTTTTTTATCATCCATAATATTTCCATCATTTCAAAAGGCAGAAATATGTTTATCGTTGTTTAACAAATATGCAAGCGACTTAGATAGCATTCTGGACCTGAACGGAGTAGTATGAAGGAAGGAAGAATTGATAGAAGAAGCGAAACAAATTGCGAGAAAACGGGTCGTTCGTCAAAG